GTGTTTAATAAGCTTGTAATGAAAGTACTTGTGTCTCAATATCTTGTGTCAGTTAGTGTAGCACCTCCTGACAATATAGGTTTGGTGCTCTGGGAGGTGTATAGTGGTTCTGACACACATTAGCCTCCAAATGCATGGTCCACAATTAGCATCTTCATATGAAAAGTTGCAATAATTGGTGGACTCCCCCTATAAAAAGGTGTGTTTCATCATCAAATTTAACAAAGACTGCTGCCAGGTTGCAGTCATGGTTTAGGAGGTGCCAGTGGCGGTCTGTAGGTGACACTGGTGTGCAGCTGAAGGCTGCCGACTTTGACAGAGCAGTGAATTCAGATGCTCCCGGTGAGAGGTGTGGCGAAATATACTCAGGAAATATAGTCTGGATGAGCTCATACTATATTTCCTTTATTATTTCTATTTTCTCTCTATTTTATTATACATTTATAATTAGTTCGATGACCTATGTATGCGGTGCATCAACTCGTGTGGGTGCATACATGCCAGACTTATGTATTCTAGCACCCGTAGTTAAAACTCAGACACATTTTACCCCATGTGAAGTGGAAGTTCTGGCCATTCTATATACGAAGAAATGAGTAGAAAGGAAGGATATTGACCTATTTGGTGCAATATAAGAGAAAGTGAGAGAAAGAGCACGAGATGACGAAGGAGTCAACGAGTGCAATGGTTCGAGTGGAGGCCTTGACTGTTATAGTTCTAGGCCAAAAGTATTCAGTAGTTCAGATAATGCTACCTATGTGGTAGCTGACACGTTACCCTGATCACCGCTCGTAGTAGACCTAGTTTGTGTCTTACGAGTGGTGGTTCTTGGGTTAAAGTGTGTCTGAGTTCTAATTGGTGCTGAGTGCACCCACAAGTATACACAATGCTTCGAACTAATGAAATATGCAATATTCGAAGAATATGAAAGATAGAAAAATATGAATAGAATATGTAAAATATAAATGAAATAAAAGGAGTGTTTTACCACAATGATACTGTGGTAAAAGCATACTCCTCACACCCCACAACCACGACTTACCCAAGACACCAGTTTGTGTCCTGTAAGCTGTGATTGGGGTATCGTCTCGACTGTCATTCACAGGCTTTAACTATCTACACAATCAGAGTTTCGAACTGTACCAGTCGAAACTCCATCTTTATCTCAATCTGTGTGGACTATATCCACGCTACTCTATCACTCGACTCTCTCGTTACTCTATTTTACACTCGAGCAGTCATCTAGAATCGTACTTAACAGTCGATTCCCTTTATTCGTTCTAGCTCTCTACTCTATTTTACACTCGAGCAGTCATCTAGAATCGTACTTAACAGTCGATTCCCTTTATTCGTTCTAGCTCTCTACTCTACTTTAGCTAGCTTCTCTCAACCATATTGAACTAAGTAGTCAATACTAGTGTTGTACCTAAACGGTTGGTATTCTTCGTATATAGAACGGTTAGAACTTCCACCACTCTTCACAGTGGTAATCTGGACCTGACCACTCTTTCCCTACGAAGAAAAATGTTTTATTCAACTATCAAATTCTAAGTACACAAATGACCACTGGCAAGAACCAAACACCGAGATCTTCAACTACCCCAAGTAGTTCACAACCTCGTCAAAGACCTGCTAGTCTGGAACCACCCCATAACGTCACCATGAGGAAGTCTTTGTTGACTTTTCAAAGACCAGTTCCTTCTGAGAATTCCCCCAAAGTAGCAGCCCGACTGCCAATGAATAATCCTCCTGATCCTCAGGAGGAACATCCACCAACTGGGCAGTTGAGCACTCCTGGAGCTAATGTCGAGCCTACCCATGCCCCTGAGCCCGTTCTCTCATTCCCACCAAGGCAGATCATCCTCAAGCAGTTCTTTGGGGGTCATATGGTTTACGCTGAACCTATCGATATACGATGGGACATGTACTACACCGATCAAATCCCCACAGATCAGATCACTCCTTTCGTGGAGGAATACAATATGGATTACCCTTCTTTACCGGTGACTGTAGCAGTCTGGTTAGGTCATTATCAGGCCATCTTATTGGTGCAGGATTTATTTACACAACCAGGAACTCTTGAGGATCTAACCCGCTCTATTCCTGAATGGTCAAATGAAGTTATTTCCATTATGGAAGGGGAAAGGACAATTTTCAAGCAGGAGGTGTTCTCTTTACTCCTCGAAGTGCTTTGTGCACACAACAATGCATTACAAATCCTTCACATCTTACTCCATGGGGATCACATCATGCCCAAGGTCAACTATCAGTATATGTACATTCAAATGTTGGAGGAATCTCTTAACAGAGTCACGCGAAATACATTGTTCACATACTTTACTCTAAGGGGCTGGTTGAAGCGAAATCAGAGGAGACTCGATAAGATGGTTTTGGAAGTGCTTTACCCTTATAATAGCTCGATTCAAGTGCCCGATTTGTCCATCTCCATGACTAGTTCATTTGTCCATGCCATAAATGGGTCTCCAGATACTCATTTCCTCCATTCGCTCAATCATCCTGTCATTTTACAAGACTTCCCATTGGATATGAGGATGCAAGTTGCAGATCGTCTTCAGGGAAAGGGGATTGAAGTCTGCACTCCCCTCTATCAGCCCCAGCTGTGTCAACCTTTGAATACGATTGAAATCAAGAGAGAAATCGCAACGGAACCTAGTCCTGCACCCCATCAGGGGATTCACCACTCTCGTGTCGCATTTGAACAAATTCCAGGTAATCCTAACTTTGGTGATGAACAACCTGTGACTAGGAATCGATCAGTTGCCAACAGGGGTTGACCGTCTTTCTTAACTGCATTCACTGAGGGTATAGCTGGTCAGGTTGCTGGTTGAGGATCGCTGAATCCAGTCGATCCCTGCCATTCCCTGCCGCCTGCCGATCTCCTCAAATCCCTTTCTGCCATCAGGAGGACCCCCTAGCAGTTCATCCAGGAGTTCTAGTGATTCAAACTGTGGAGGGAATTCGGGATGTGGGGGGCATCATGGTGGAGTACTTAACTCTCCCTTTCAAACTCCAACGTGGCCTCGAGCCAGCGTGCTTATTGATGACTTACCTAAGGATAAAAAGATCGCTCTTAACACCAACGACATCAAGATAAAATGGTTGGACCTTCCCGAATACGATGGAACTCAATCCAGGGCCTTGGACTACATCATGGATATTATGAGTCTCTTGGAGATCTCAGACTCCATGAGCACATTGTTAGGAGTCACTCTGCCAAGATCTGGTGGAGCACCCTGGACTGTGAACATCGTACTGAATTCAGTTGATCTCACAGATTGTTCCTTTGGGGCATTGTAGAGGGATTACTCAGAACTCATTGGCGCGAATATTTAGCCCTAGAATGGGAAGCCATGAAATTTCGACAAGCCGGTCACAATTGTGAGACACCTGTTCACTACATTCAATGGAGGGTTAAGCTCTATTGATTCTTGTATGGGTTCCACCAAAATCAAAAGGACGAAATGCACAGACTCATCCTGACACTGCCCACGGAATGGCTTTACCTTCTACAAGGACAACCTATCGACGACATCATGAGCCTGCAGACTTACAGTGAGGGACAAAACCTGTAAAGGGTCGAGTAGTTTACCACTCAATGTGCGATTGTTATCAACTAGCAATAGTACGAAATACAATCGACTAGTAGTTTTAGGTAGTCAAGATGTAGATTACGATTGACCCTTAAGGTGCGATCGGTAGATAATTACAAGGGTGGATCAAGCTTACAGTACAGTCTGACTGTGTAGCTAACTGGGCTGATGGTCAAGTAGATAAGAGAAAGTATATGTTGCGCGAGAGAGAAAGAATATCCTAAGAAAGTGAGTTACAATGGATATTCTTACCGTGCGAAGCAAGAGCTTGAAGTCGAGTTGAATAATAGTAACTAACTTCGACTGTTTCAGTGCGAAGTGTAGTTACTGTAATTCTATGAAAAGAGATAGAGTGAAGGTTTGTTTTAGACAAGACCCTGAACCAGTACTTGCATGTGCAGGTGATGGTTGTCGGGGTTAAAACGTGTCTAAAACTGTATCGTGTGACTACTACTGTGACATGCACATACATCTTGTGGGCAAGAGCACCCACAAGCATACATGGACTCTTGAACTAATAAAAGGGGTATGACCGTATTTATGAGTGATAAAAAGAGAATAATAAGAAATATAAAAGAAATAATGGCATTATAAAGTGGCTAAGGGTTAAGGCTTAGAGCCTTTAGTCGCGCTTCCTATGTGACCTATGTATCCTTCACAAAACCCTTCCAATGATTTTTAGTTGTGCAAAGATTCTTGAATAACTCAAGAACCACTGTAAATACAGACCTGAAATTTGGTGGTTGGTTAGGTCTATATGTTATCTATATGGCCTTGAAATATTATGACATAAGCATTAGTATTTCCCACACTATAAATAAAATAATACCAAAATCACATTGGAAGGGTTTACAGTCTGTGAAGAGTGGCGGAAGTTCTGACCGTTCTATATACAAAGAAATGAGTAGAAAGGAAGGATATTGACCTATTCAGTGCAATATAAGAGAAAGTGAGAGAAAGAGCACAAGATGACGAAGGAGTCAACGAGTGCGATGGTTCGAGTGGAGGCCTCAACTGTTATAGTTCGAGGCCTGAAGTGTTCAGTAGTTCAGATATTGCTACCTATGTAGTAGCTGACACATTACCCTGATCACCGCTCGTAGTAGACCTAGTTTATGTCTTACAAGTGATGGTTCTTGGGTTAAAGTGTGTCTGAGTTCTAATTGGTGCTGAGTGCACCCACAAGTATACACAATGCTTCGAACTAATGAAATATGCAATATTCGAAGAATATGAAAGATAGAAAAATATGAATAGAATATGTAAAATATAATTAAAATAAAAGGAGTGTTTTACCACAATGAAACTGTGGTAAAAGCATACTCCTCACACAGTCACATGATTGGCACAAAACCTTATGTAAGAATTACATAAGCAGGGTGAAAATATTGACCTGAGCTGGATTTGAACCAGTGACCACTAAGTTTGGATTTGGATTACATGTCAAGTGCTCTTAACCCCTGAACTATCAGGTCATTAAGAGTAGTTCTATTAAGAACCAGTTACTACTGAGATGATTAGTCATCAGTAAGATATTAATATATCCAGGTCAACCATGACTCATTCAACACCTTATTGATTATCTGCAAATAAGGTTTTGTTTAATCATGTGACTTATCAAAATTAGATATATATATAGCTGTTCACTTTCTAGTTCAACAGCATCCCCGCAACTCAACATTCTATACCATGAAAGCTCTTACTCCTGCTCAGATTAGCCACATTCTCACTTTGCTCAATAAGGGCAAGTCTGATTCTCAGATCTCTGCAATCACTGGCAGAGATCTGTCTACTATATCCAAAATTCACTTTACCCATTGCCCATCACTTGCCAAAGCACCTGGTGGCTGTCCATGCAAGCTTTCTCCCTCAGATATTCATTATTCCATCCAACAAATCACTTTTCAGAAGGCAGAACATGCCACTGAGGTCACCAAAATCCTTCAAAAGATGACTGGAGAGTCCATTTCAGTGAAGACTGTTCATAGAGCACTCAAGAAGGCTGGAATGAGGGCTGTGGTAAGAGAAAAAGGCCTTTACTCACTAAGAGGTATAGGAAGGCAAGGATGGATTTTGCTCTGGCACACAAGGACTGGACTGTAGATGATTGGAAGAGGGTTGTTTGGTCATATGAGACAAAAATCAATCATTTGGGGTCAGATGGGAGTAAGTGGGTGTGGAAAAGGGCAGGAGAGGTGCTCAGTGGTAGGGTGGTTGAGGGTACAGTCAAGTTTGGAGGAGGAAATCTGATGTTGTGGGGCTGTATGGTGTGGGAAGGACCAGGATATTCCACCACGATTGATGGAAGGATGGATGCTGACCTTTATGTTAGCATTCTGGAAGATGAACTTCAAGCAACCATGCAGTATTACGGCAAGAATACAGAAGATGTGGTCTTTCAGAAAGACAATGACCCCAAACACAAGAGCAAGAAGGCTACCAATTGGTTTAAAGATAATGGATTTGTGGTCATGGCATGGCCACCTCAGTCTTCTGACCTTAATCCAAATGAACACCTCTGGTATTCCCTCAAAAAGAGGCTGGGAGAGTATGAAGTGGCACCCAAGAGTATCCATGAGTTGTGGGAGAGGGTTCAGACAGAGTGGGAGAAGATCCCTGCCTCTACTTGTCAGAATTTGATAGAGAGTATGCCTAGAAGGGTTGAGGCTGTTTTGAAGGCCAAGGGAGGCTATACCAAGTACTAGATTGTTTGATTTGTATTCTTTTTATAGCAGGGACAAAACCCTTCCAATGTGATTTTATAATTATTTTATTTATAGTGTGGGAAATACTAATGCTTATGTCATAATATTGTAAGGGAATATAGATAACATATAGACCTAACCAACCACCAAATTTCAGGTCTGTATTTACAGTGGTTCTTGAGTTATTCAAGAATCTTTGCACAACTAAAAATCATTGGAAAGGTTTTGTCACTCACTGTATGCTAACAATTTACAAGAGGCTCTGATTAATGCTTGGGTTCAAACACATTGAGAGCATTATCAATTTCAGAAACCTAGAGTCATGATCACCGAACAGGAAGAGTTAGATCCCTGGCATGAGGAAGAATACTCTGGAGGAATTGACCCCACTAATCAAGGCCACGCCCTTCTCGGTGAAGTCGAAGATAAAACTGTCCCTAGGAGATCTAATGCGAAACAGGGTAAGAAACATGGCAAGTTCTTTTTCGAACAAAGCAACAAGAAAAGCGTCACTAAACCCCCAAAGGAGTGCTGGATTTGCGGGAGTTTAGAGCATTTTAAGATTGACTGCCCTCATGCAGGTAGGATGTCACACTATGTCTCTATTAACAAATGCTCCAAGCAGAACCCAACTGAGGAGGCAGAGGATCAGAGGGCTTATGAAACGGTTCATGGATTGAGCATACAGGGACAAGTACATAACATTGATGAGGAATTGATTTTCATTTCTGTCTACCTTCCTCAATCAGAGGATGACGTTGTTTCAGATGTGAATCCATCTTCAAATGAGAATGAGGCATCGCAAGTCTATGTTTCTATATCAGACTGTGATTTTCTCGAGAAAGGAGACTGGCTAGACGCTCATCGTCAGAACCGGAAAGGTCTGACTGAGATGGGAGCCTTATTGTGACTTGAACCTCCCACCATTGAGGAAATCATCGACGAGGAAGTATTTGCAAACCGATCTAAGGAAATAAGTCAGACCTACATTATAGAAGACCCCTCTGAGTCAGAGGGATTGGAGGAGGAGAGCTTCCCCTTCAACTCAGGACAATTACCCAACTTAATTCCTTGTGATGAGTCAGACTTTGAAGCGGATGACTCCGTTCCGAACACTACACCCGAGATACCTAATGGTAGATGCGTCAGGAGGAACATCAAACTGGCTACAAGAAAGGAAAGCAAAAGACCCAGAGTCCAATACCCTCGATCCAGTTGGCTTATGAAGGAGGATTCAACCATTATTTACCGCAGAAGGGACCCCCCAGGTGGATATTCCAGTAAGGTAGGCGTCACTTTAGTTTGGCACCTGTTTATGTAAGCAAAAAATTGACCTACTCGCACTCCTTTCTGTGCTTCCACAACATAGATAATCTGTAATTAAAGCCCAGGGAAGTGGAGTTGGGATCCATTCCTCCAGTTATCAGGTTTAAAACTTGAAAAGTAATTCACCCTTGCCAAGTAGTAGGACTTACAAATTTTAACTTTTTTTTTGAGTCTCTGAATGCTTAAAAACTCGTTTCCATGTGATTCTGAGATTTTCAAAATTTCGCAAGTGTCAGTATTGGCCGCTTACATAATCATCACGTGATATATTGGGCAGCCTTGTTTTAAGGGCCTAAAATTGGGAAAGAAAACTGTATTAAATTCAAATATATGTACTTATCTTACTTACATAAAAATTCTCCTAAGAAAAAGAGGGTATAGCTGCACATGTACTTGTGCAGTAAGCTGTGCACTTGATCACAGGCCACATTACATAAGCAGCACAGTGGCAAACACATGGTTGCACAGTTCTACTACTATGCCTCAGAAGTCTAAAGCTGCACAATCTCACATCAAAAACCTTGGATTAACAAAAGATACCATGGCCATCGTACATTACCTCCAATCATGCTTGCACAAGTATGGCAAGCTCAAATTAATATGCCTGTACCATTATAGTGACTCCAATTCATTTTTTGACTTCATAATAAATTTTTCAAAAATTTGATTCGCAAATTTGGCCGCTCTTGGCACTTAGTAATATGATTACATAAGGTGCTGAACTAAAGTGATGCCTACCTTATTGGGATCTCAGCATTACATGTCTACGGACATGGAGGGAACTCAGAAGCCTCTAATCCTATTAAAATCAGGCTGGACACTGGGGCCGACCTCTCCTTAATTTGGGAGGATTTCTATAAGGAATTAGACGACCACCCCAAGCTCAAGCAAGGACTCAAGTTGCGCCTCATACAGCTTACCAGTAATGCTAAAATATTAGGATATGTCAATGTCCCCATTTATCTCGAAGATGACACTGGTATGCTCCTTAAATTTACTGCACTGTTGACTGCATCAATGCCTTCTCAGTCGAAGATCTAGGTGTCTGGGCCCATTTGTTCGTGTCGTGAATTAATCCAACGGTTTCCCCTCGTTGTAAGGGCGACTCTCTAGACCGCACTAACTCGCACTATGACTGAGTTGGGGTCCTAGCAGAGGAAATCTGAAGTGAATTTATACCTATCTAATTACATACATGTAGAATACAATATTACTTACCTAGCAGAGGAAATCCGAAGAGAAAAGTCTAAGGAATCCTCGGCTAGCGGGTGACTAACTAAAGGTGCAGCTGAGTTTGAAAATGTGATAACAACAAGGTGCCCCTCTCAGTCTTTACTTATGAACTATATTAAGGAGAGTCAGAGAAAATGGAAAACTTAGGATTGTCCCCTGACACTCGTCTAATGATTCTTGGTGTCAGAGAGGGGTTAGCGAGAGGTATCGCAGCCCATTCCCTAGAGATAGCAGTGGTGGGAGCGGCTAATATACTCCCATCGTCGTTCTGCAAGACAACTCCCTCGACTATCCATTGGTCACCGATAAGATCTCCAACAAAGATTGGCACTAATCAAGCTGATTCCGGTTCTATAGTACAATCCTGCAGGGCCTGTGCGACTCTTTCAGTACACACCCCTTTCAAAGGTCTGGTTTGGAAGTCAATTCGGGTGAGTCATTGGCTAGTTCCTCAAGGGGAATCTTGCTAATTGAGAAGGCTAAAGGCTGTGGCTCCTTGGAAGAACCTGCCCTCCCTGGTAGAATCAATCTAGAGCCCAGCGGTTGATCTCGTAGTGTCCTGATCTCATAGTTCATGTAAAAGTCCTCTCCGAGAAGAATCGGAATGGTCATGCCTTGGACAATGTACATTTCGCAACCAAGATCACTCACCTCGTAGAAAGTCTATCAAGAATAGAAGAGGAGCGTGTCCTTAATCCTCGATCTTCCGGACAGCCCCCAGAACGGGAACTCGCAGACGATTTCGACCCAGCATGTGAAGGTGTGAAGAGTGGTGGAAGTTCTAACTGTTCTATATACAAAGAATATTGACTGTTTAGGTACAACACCAGGATGTATTGACTGTCTAAGTCTAATACAGACTGAACATGTATTGACTGCTTAGTTCAATACGGTAGAGAGAAGTAGCTATCTAAAGTAAGGTAGAGAGCTAGAACGAATAAGTAGAATCGACTGTTAAGTGCAATTCTGAACGACTGCTCGAGTGCAAGTAAAGTAACTAGAGAGTTGAATAATAGAGTAGCATGGATGTAGTCCATGCGGGTTGAGATAAGGATTGAGTTTTGACTGGTACAGTTCGAAACTCTAATTGAGTGGGTAGCTAAAGCCCGTCTGTGATGGTCAAGACGATACACCAATCACAACTTACAGGACACTAACAGGTGTCTGGGTAAGTCATGGTTGCGGTGTAAAAGTGTCTGAGTTCTAAACTA